TGATGGGAAGATGCACCATCTGGCACTGCGAGTGGCACCAAAGGTCATCCCACACCCACAGGTTTTGTTTTCCAGGAGGTGGTATTGGCCGTGGCACTGCGGGCAGCACAGGATGGGGCAATGGCCCTGCAGCCATGTCTGCCTCCTCCTCCTGCACAGGGTGGACACAGCCATTAGAGATGCTCTGGGGCACCGGTGTGTCATCATGCCATGATGGGAGTCTCCAGAGCCTCCATCTCAGGGCACACTGCAGGGTGACACAGGGGACAGAAGGGACCAGAGAGTGCTGGGTGCTTGTACAGCTGGGCACTTCCAGCCTGGGCCACTCTGAGCACTACACTGCCTTTTAATTAGTGCCACAGGAGGTGGAGAGCTCTAATTATGGAGGGAATCATACATTAGGACGCTGCTGGCTCTTCCCTTCCTCTTCAGCAGGTGGCTGCACAAGGAGAAAAGCTGTGTGTCCCCTCTCCATCCCGTGCCACCCACTGCACTCAGGCATTTTGGTGCTGTGGAACGAAGAGGGGACCTCACAGTTCTGCCAGCCTTCATCCTGTGGGCACCTTCCTGCTTTCAGCTGAATTCACATCTATCCTCCCCAAGCATCTACTGATGGGCTTCACCATGAAAAGACAAATCCTCCCCATACCAGTGAGGAAACTGAAAAGCAGGTGATGCTGCGCTAAAGGCTTGGGATGCGTTTGGTGGCAGATGTGCTCCATCACAGACGTTGGTGCTCTCTGTGGCTCCGGTCACGTCCCTCTGTGCCTCATTCTATCTGTGGCATGCTTGCAAATCGGGGCTGATGGCAGTCACTAGCAAATGGTAATTGCAGGACTTTCTGGTGAAACCGGCGCTGTGGGCAGAGCGACGACTCCGCATTGGGGGTTCTAATGGAAAAGTGCTTTGAAGGGGAAGGAAAAGTGAAAAGGCCCTTTGCTGCAGTGGGACAGCGCATGGCAGTGTGCTCAGCAGGGGCTGGCCCCTGTTTTGGGGTGTTTTCCCACTGTAGATGAGGCACTGCAGACAGAATGGTGCATGACTGAGATACAGGCGGGGGACAGTGGTGTCACCATATCCAAAGCCCCTTGCTGCTGCATCACGATGGGAAGCTTGCCTATCCCTTTGCCATTCATCCAGAGGGAGGAGAAGACATGGGACTTGGATCTAATGCTGGATGCTCCCCATGCCCCATTGGGTGATTCTTTTCTTAACTTGTCTTCCTGGGCTCTCAGAGTTGCTGAGATCTGTGGGACACAGCGGAGGTGCCAACACCACGAGCACTGCATCCCCTTGGGCACAGGGCAGGTGATGCTGGATCCTTCTGAGCCACTTTGATGAGTGCCCAGACTCCAGGATCATGCTTTATAGAGGAAATTGCAGCTCTTTCTTAAGTCACTCTGAATCATCAGATAATAACTTTTGGAGCGCACCATGTGGGCACTCAATAAATTAGGCAGGCACCAACGCACAATTAGAGGAAGCGTGTTGGGAAGAGAGAGAGATGGGACAAGGAACACCAATAATTGCTCTCTCTCGTCGAACCTTTCATCCAGGAACAGCAGAAGGTTTTGTAAACAGTAATTAATAAGGCCTCCCAACCTTTGCTGGAAGTTGCAGAGGGCAATTAAAGCACCGCGATCTCAACTGGGAACCTCAAGCGCAGAGAGGTCAGGCTTGTGGTGTCTCTGGTGGCTCTGTGCTGAGGTGTGTTCAGCCCCATTTCTGGTCAGAGAGAGCTGAGACGCAGTGAGGAAGAAGAGAGGAGGCTGCCCTTCCTCCCCAGCAGTGCCGTGAGCTGAGCATCCCAGGGGACAGCATCGGGGGCAATGGACCTGGGGAAGCGGTGTGCCGGGATGCCCAGTGCTGTGCTGCATCTTTGGCCACAGAACTGGGGATGTGCCAGTAGAGCGCAGCCGTGGTGTTTGGATCCTGCCTGCCTGCTCCCCCCTTCCTTCCCACAGTGAGGAGCAGATCGTGTGCAGCCCTGCTTCAGCTCGCCCAGATTTGCCTCTTGGCAGAGTGAAGCTCTGAACGCGGCAGAACTTGGCTTTGTTTGTGCACATCTGTGGGCTCAACCTCAGCATCCAAGGGGCCTCGCTCAGCTGGGTGGCCTTTGCTCTCCCTGCTGTGTTCACAGCCCATGCCTCGGTATATGACAACATCTCTGATCATCCTCTGGGACAGCCACCTGGGCTCAGCAGTGTGACCGTGGGTTCAGCTGTGGGGTTCTAAATGGAGTGGAAGGGCTGGAGGAGCACATCTGCTGAATACCAATCAGCTCCTTCTTTGCCTCCCCGCCCGCACCCCCTCCATCCTCCCCAGCCCCACTCACAGGGAATTGCATCCCTGCAACCTGGAGATGCACCCAGGGGAGGTGGGGATGGTGCCAGCCCTGACTCAGGGATGGGTGACTCACAAGGTGCTGCTGGCGTAGGGGAAGCAATGAGCAAGCAGAGCCGGGCAGGAGCTGCAGAGCTGGGGCAGAGGCAACTGGAAAGAGCCAAAGATGAGACATTGTTTGTGATGGGAGAGGTCTCCTCATCCTCCGTCCCATGTGCGAGGCTCAGGCTCCAGCCCTGCCCTATCATGCCATAAGGACATGGCTCACCACAATGCCCTATGGCAGGAAAACACTGCAGGTAAGGACAGAGCACTTTGACTTTTGTGAGTGCCCAGTGCTGGGCTTGCTGGGATTCATGCCTCCTAATGCATCCCAGCCTGTCTCCTGGGGTCTGCCCATTTTCCTGCTGGAACACTCCTGGTGTTGGGTGCTGCTCTCTCTGAACTGAATTTCTTTAGGGTTCAACCACCATCATCATGAAACTAAGGGGCACCAGCCCCACTGTGCTTCCCTGCCAGGGCTGGGTCACTGGGAGTTCCAGTGGCTTCTGTCCACCACTGCTGGTGGCCTTCAAGGCTTGCCACCATGTCCTCCTTCCATTGTCCTCCTGCCCATGACATCAGCCTGACCCTATTGTTCATCTGCCCCAAATCTCTATCCTGGTTTGCTGCCATGAGGAGGACAAGCCTCAACCCAAGCCTACAGCGCTTCTCCTAATGCTTTTCTCCTACAGTCAGGATAGGGCTGACACAGAGCAATGTGCCACTCCGCAGCTGGACTTGATTCCTACACCAGTGCAAGACCTGAGGCTTTGCAGCTTTGTCCCAGGGCAGAGTTTGGCTCCTCTAATTCCAGCATGCTGCTGCATGCAGTTGCACTGTGCTCTGGGAAGAGTGACCATGGGGCAGTCGGGACCAATTTTTCTTCCCTGTGAAGACTCTGAGATGAGCGACATGGCCACGGAAAGGGTCATGTTGCTCCCAGAGGGCGTTAGACCAGATCAACAGCATCGTCTTCAGCAAAAACTGATGATGGAATATTGGTTATTCTGAAAGAATATGGAAAAATCCAAATAACCGACCCCGATGCCTCAGCCTGAGCAGAGGACAGGAACCACCTGGCTGAGCAGGACTTTGGGACCCATCCTCAGTGGGACATCCCGCGGCCATCCCCACCCCACCGGTGGCACCTCACCTTCTGAGCCTGGCAGATCATCTTCCGCACCACCTCCTTGATGTGAGCCTGGCCCTCGATGGGCGGCTGCATGTAGACGGTGGCGCGGGTCACCCCGCGGTAGGCGATGGTCTCGGGCCAGCCGAGGTCCAGCTGTGGGATGGAGCGGTCGGATCTCTGCGGCCAGTACTCCAGGGACGGGGCCACCTCCTGCTCATCCCCTTGGCTGTTGCGGTCGCCTTCGCTCCCCGCTGTGCTGCTGCCATGGCGCGGGATGTACTCAGAGCCGGGGTCATACGTCTCCAGAGTGTCCAGGATCTTCTTGAGCTCCAGCTCGGAGAGGAAGTCCCGGATGTTCTCCTTCTTCAGGACCTCATAGAAGGCATCAGGGCCGCGGGAGGCCAAGGCCTCCAGGGCCAGGCGCTGCTCCTCGCTGTAGAAGAACTCGGGCTTGGACTCGCTGGACCTCCAGTTGACGTGGCTGTCATCCAGGCACTGCACCTGGGAGAAAGCCATGGCGACGGCACACGCTGCGTCCCTCCACCAAGGGAACTTCTCCGGCAGGAAATACTGAATCAATTCCTCCCCAGACTTTACAAAGGCGACCAGTTTTGCTTTGCCAACCCCGGTTCAATGTGCAGCCGGGGACGCGGCTCCTTGCTCTGCCGGCTCCTGCCACGCTGGGCTGTGCGGGGAGGAGGATCTGGGTTCCTGCTGCGGGCAGGGCAGAGCTCGGCCCCGTGTACACACACACACACGATATGGCCTCCTCTACCTCCGGCTACGCGCTGCGCTCATCCTCCGCTCTTTCAACGCAACGAGAAAGCAAACCAAAAGAAAAAAAGGATAAGAAACAAAGGAAAAGACACAGCTTCACAAAGTGCTCTCGAAGCAGAGTTCCTCGGCCCAAACATCGGCCGGGTCCCGGTTAGGCAGCGGCTCGGCGGTGCGTTCGATGCCCGACAACGTCTGCGCCGAACTCTTCGGCATCTCCGCGGGTCACTCCCGGCTGCCGCCCGCACGCTGTGCCGGGTCGGACAGGTAACAGCAAGAAGTGAAAAGAGGAAAAGCAGAGGAGTGATTCATCGCTCCGCCCTGCCCCACCTGCGGTCACATGCTGCCTGCACATTCCCAGCTTGGCTCGACCATTAACTCTTTCAGCCGGCGCTGCTCCACAAAAATCAGCTCTGCTCTGAAATCCCCTCTTTCTTTTTGTGCCTGTTGGGATGGCACTTGTTTTGGGGGAAAGAAGTGGCTGTGCCCCGTGTTTGAGCCCTCCTGCACCGCATGCAGCAGCCCCCGCGCTGCTGGGAGAGGGTCGGAACTGCGGGGAGGGCTCTGCTGGGTGTGGGGCAGGGGCTCGGCACCGCACTGGCGGAGTGTGATACGAATTGGGAGATGAATTAAAAATCCCCCCCCTGCGTTGTCCAGGCAGCGATCGCGGAGCTTTTAGGCAAAGGAGAATTTCGTGAATTGGGATCAGATGTCAGAAAGGAAAACGCCACGGGCTGCGTCTCGCTGAGCCGCTTGGGTGCAGTTGGTCTGGATCTGCGGCCGTGTAAATGAGAGCCCCGCTTGAGTCAGCATCCTCAGGGCAAAGCAGCAAAGGGCCGCGCTCCGGAGCGAGGCATGCAGGGTGCTGGGCACCAACCTGCACCTTGCGTTCCCTTTTGTCCATGCAGGGATTTATCTCCTTGTCCTCTCTCAGCTCCTCCTGGAGGAGGTTCAGATGGGATGTTAGGGACAATTTCTTCTCCCAAAGAGACATCAAGCACTGGCACTGCTGCCCAGGGAGTGGTGGGGTCACCGTCCCTGGAGGTGCTCCAGAACTGTGGAGATGTGGCACTGAGGAATGTGGTCAGTGGGCACGGTGGGATGGGGATCTTGAGGGTCTTTTCCAACCTGAGTCACTCTGTGATGTACTCAGCTCCCTCTGCCCTGCGTTCGTGTGGTGGTCATTGTGCAAGGAGATCCGCAGCCTTTATAGAGGGGTGTGTGTGATTAGGATTTATTGCATGGTGGAACTGATGGAAGAGGAAAACAGTGTCGCATTGGGACCATGCTGTGACAGCTGCCATTGAGGCTCAGTGCTGCAACTCTGCTTTTCCTCCTCTCTTCCTTAAATCTCTCTTTACTGACAGCACAGCACTGAGCTCAGGGCTGGATGAACTTGTTATTTGGGTGCACGCTTGATATATTTTTCCTGCATACCAGCTTGCTCCTCTGATTTCCCCACTGCAGGAAAAGAGCTGGCAGACTTTAAATGTCTGCCTCTTGCAGGGAGGGGTCACTGTGGCTGAATGCATCAGTCCCCACTGTCCCCATGTTCCCGTTCCCTTGGCCAGACAGTCATCCCATATCCCAGCTTCACCATCCCCAGCAACGCCACAGCCCTACAGCCCGCACCAGGCTTCTCCTGGCCACAGGAGTAATCTGCAATTACAAGCTCCTAATTAATTTCCCATCTCCATCTGAAGGCCCAACGATGCAGCAGGGTGTGACGCTGGGCTCTGCTGCCCAAGCTCTGCTGGGCTGCACCAAGGGGTGTTCAGTTGGGGTGCAGCACCCAGACACTGCTCTGCCCTCAGGAGCATCCTCCAGCCTTACAGGTCTGCAGGTATTTGCATGGAGCCACGCACAATGTGGTGCTTTGGAGAAGGGGAAACTGAGGCACAGAGCTGTGATGGCAGTGTTACTCAGAGCCCTGGCGCTGTCTCTTACCCCGGGGAAAGGTGGAAAGGCAGCTGCCAGCCCCACTCCTGCTGTGCCCAGCCTGCTTTGTGCTGTGCTATGTGGTGTAAAACCAAGGGAACCCCGGTCCTGCTCCTTTTGCAGGACTTTTGGTGCACATTCCAGTGCATGGTGGGGACTGTGGAGTCTGCATTCCAAAGAAGAGCAGTGGGGACAGAAGGGGTGCACATACCCCATGGGAAATCCTTTGTTCTGCGTCATTTTTTGCCTTCCCTATGACTCCAGCTGTTGTGTAGGGGTGCCCACGCCGGTCCCTGTGCTGCTTGGGCTGAGGATGCCGAGATGAGAGCCAGCCAGGATATAAATATTTATACTTGCCATTAATTTCCATCTATTTCAATATTTTATGAGCCTAACAATAAAAAAGGGCTCAGCACCCATTGGGACGCGTAAGTATTTGGGCGTTGACTGTCCTAAAGTGGTGCCAGGTGCGTCGTGGGGAGCGGTGGGTGCAGAGGTGATGGCCCCAGTGGTGCACAAAATCATTTGCCCCCAGATCCCAGCAGGGCTTAGGGTCTCCCTGGGGGGCTGTCGTGGGATTTAGGGTGGTCAGGGCTTAGAAATGTGAGATCCAACCCAGGCATGGCGCTTGGGTGATGCTGGAGGATGCAGGCTCACTTCAGGACTTTCCCCTGCCTCTGTCCCCCAGATGCTGTGGCCTGCGTGGACCCTGAGGAGTGCACTCGTGTGTGTGGGGCTGCAGTGGGCTGCTCCAACATCGCCTACCCCAAGCTGGTGGTGGAGCTGATGCCCAGCGGTAAGGTTGTGCTGTTTGCAGCCGGTTCCTGCTGTGCTTCTGGCTGTTGGTGTCCTGGCTCGGTCATCACAGGGTTGTTTAGGGAGCTGTGGGCCATGCAGCCTCCTCCCCAGTGACCCCCAGAAGTGAGACTGGGGGCTGTGGGTTGTCTTATGAGGTTGCTAGGTGTCTACAAATCCCAACCTATGGACATGCAGATTGGGATGTGTTTCCTCTAGGACACTGGGGGCATTCCCAAAACCCAGCCTATGGACGTGCAGAGCAGGACATGTTTCCTCTGGGGCACTGGGGGACATCCATCCTGTTGTCCTCAGCCACAGCCCAACAATCCCTCTCCTCCCCAGGGCTGCGGGGTCTGATGATTGCAGTGATGATGGCCGCACTCATGTCCTCCCTCACCTCCATCTTCAACAGCAGCAGTACTCTCTTCACCATGGACATCTGGAGGAGGATGAGGCCAGGGGCCAGTGAGCGCGAGCTGCTCATGGTGGGCAGGTAGGTAGTGAGTGTTTTGGGGACAATGAGGGTTTTGGGGAGACTGGCAGGGCCAGCCCAGCCCTCTATGATCTCCTTTGGAGTCTGGGAGCTCAGCCCAGCTGCAAAGTGCTGTGGTTGCAGGAAGAAAACAAAACCCTTGGAGTCTTTTATGGATGAAAGCACTGGAAATGAAGATGGAGCTCATGGAGCGTTTTGGAGGGGCTGATCTGTGCCCTCCAAACAAGCTCAGGGGGGTGGGCTGAGCTGCTGCCCCACATTGCTGTGGGGCAGAGGGTGGCACAGCCCCAGTGTGTGCCCCAGGGGTGGTGAGTGCTGGCCCCCAGTCCGGTGCTGTGGTGCTGTGCAGTGCCTGGGGCGGCACACTCAGCTCTGGAGCATGGCCCAGCACAGTGCTGTGCTATAGGGACAATGACAGGGAGGAAATCTGGGTCAGGGCTCTGGCTGGGCTGGGCTGAGGCTGCGAGGAGGCTCTGCCGGCCCTGCTGGTCCGGGTGATTGCAGGACGGTGATTTTTGGCACCCTCTGTTGCTGGGGGTGGGAAGATGATGGGTGTTGATCTATCTGTAGCAGCACAGCCATCCAGATAGGTGCAGGAACTGGATGCTATGCCTATAAAAATGGCTATAATAATACAGGAGTGCTTTTGGAAGGGTGGTGGATGAGTGTTTGCAATGGTCTTTGCCCACCCGGGGCAGGAATTGCAGCTGCAATTGATTACAGGTGATAAATTAGTGCAGGGGGCAATGTGTGCAGCCCTATGGCTGTGCTGAGTCAGCACCTGTGGGGTGGCACGTGGGGACAGCGATGGAGGTGACATGTGTCACCACAGGGGGTCTTGGGATCACTCCATGTTTCTTCAGCTGTTTTCCCAGGCTAAACAACACTGGGATGGGCACATCTGTAAACAGCACCCACGCTTCCAGAGAAGTCTGGCAATAGCTTTCTATCGGTACTGAGGAGATAGCTGGGTGCCAGCTGGGAGCACAGCAAAGGAGGAATGTTCAGGGAGGAAAAACTGCTGGTGGAACTGCAAGGACCAGTGTGGGGACATAGGATGGTTCCCATCCCCAACCTGGCCCTATGGCACCTGCACATGGGCTATGCTCCATTCAGTTCTGTGAGAGAAAGGGATTTGCTTGCCCTCATCTGGAGCATCTCCAGAAGATGCACTCATGCTGTAGGTACAGGGCAAAAGTATTGGGATCCTGCTGGAAAACCTTCATCCTGCTTCCATGGGTGTCCTAGGGGCCTGGGGTAGTGCTGCCCATTCCCAAGGCCAACGCTGAGCTCAGAGGGGCTCTCTGTAGGGACCTGGTGCTGCCTGCAGCGGGTGGAGGGCTGGAGCATCCCCCCATGTGGTGCTGCTCGAGGGGGTGGGAAGCGCTCCCGATTCCCTGGATCTGGGGATTTCTCCTCACACCATGGCCCTCACTGGAAATCCCCGCTTGTGTTTTTCATTCTGTGCCAACATCATGTGCCACACCTGTCCTGTGCCCTCCCAGCATCAGCAGTGCCATAGGGCCAACCCCACTGGGGGGTTTTTCTCCTGCCCCATGGGTCGGGGCATGAACTTTGTGCTTCCTCTTTCCACAGAACCAGGCAGGCGGCACCAGAGGGCGGCTGTGCCTGGGGAGGTGCTTTCATGGCTTTTTCTTTCTTGCTTGCTTTTTCTCTTTTTAAAATACTTCTGCTTTTCGAAATGAGCAGATGGAGATTTGGGTAATTCTGTGAAGCTGCCCGCTGTCAACACGCAGCACTGAGCTATAAATACGGCGGTGCTGAGGCGCTCTCCTGCACTGGGTACCAGCTCCTGGCTGCCTCCATCACTGCTGAGCTGACAGCTCTGTGCTTTTGGGATCTGTACTGTCCATGATCAGACTGGGCCCAAAAACTGGCGTTTCGCAATGCTTCCTGTTTTGGGATCGGGGCGAGGATGGGGACACCTGGGGACATCTCAAGGGTGTGAAGGTGATGAGAGCATCAGTTGCAGAGCCAAAATTTACACCTGGGGCTTTTCATAGTGTTTCCCCATGAGGTGCCAATCAGCAGCCCCCAGTGCTCCAGGATGGAGCCGGCACTGCTGTAATTACTGCACCTTGTGCAGATTTGGTGAGACGGGGACTGCAGGTTGTGGCTCTGCCTTTGAGGTGGCATTTCCATAAGAGCCTAGGGGATGTGCAAGGCTCAGAGCCATGGCTTGGGGTCAGCCCCAATGGGATCGTGCCCAGGTGGCGATACCTTTCCCTGGTTGCAGCCGGTGGGCAGGGAGGGAGTTAGCTGGGGAGGGCTCCAAAAGCACAGTGACATGAAACAACCTCAGCCCCAGGCACGTCTGAACTGAGCCCAGACAGCACATCATGATGTCTGCCACTGCGACAGGTGAGAAACCACACGGGGCAGGAACATCCTGCCCAGCCCCGGGGGTGTTCCTGCGCCGGGCATCCTCCTGCTGCCCTCAGGGTAATGCCCACCTGCAGCATTGCTGGGCCCCAGCCTGTGCCACAGGACAGCACAGTGCCTGCACTGCAGGTGGGATGGTGTCACCGTGCACTGCTGCTCACAGGGTGGTGACCGTGCTGCTGGTGGCTTTCAGCGTGGTGTGGATCCCCATCCTGCAGAGCTCTGGCGGCGGGCAGCTCTACATCTACATTCAGGCTGTCACCAGCTACCTGGCTCCTCCTGTCACTGCTGTCTTTATCCTGGCTGTCTTCTGGCCCCGTGCTAATGAGCAGGTGAGGACAGCTGGGGGGCACAATGACAGAAACACAGCCCTGCCCACTGGGGTCAAGAGGGAGGAATGAGGATGGAGCACTGGAGAGGTGGGAGAGGAAATGTAGAATCATTCAAATGGGAAAAGACCTGTAAGATCACTCAACTGCTGGCCCATGCCCACCCTGCCCACTGGCCACGTGGATATGCAGAAGGAACATGCAAAAGCCCCAGGGTGGTGTTTCTTGTGGCTGGATGGGGGGAGGAGGAGGAGGAGGAGGAAGAGGAAGATGCAAGTGCTGCCACGCGTGGCCACCAAGCATGGCGGGGCTGGCAGAGAGCATCCCCTGGGAGTGAGTGCCACTGGGGATGGGTTTTGGCTGGTTGGGATTCACAGTGCTGTGTCAAGGCCCTGGGGCTGCCCATCCCTCTTCATGGACTGTCCAAGGGGGCGGTCCCCTCTGTGGGGTTTGTCTCCTGCTGGTGTGGCCGTCCCCTTCCAGCTGTCCCCTTCTGCCCTTTGCTTTGCAGGGAGCCTTCTGGGGCCTGATGGCAGGGCTGGTGCTGGGGCTGGCCAGGATGGGGCTGGAGCTGGCACACCCCACACCCCGCTGCGGGGTCCCCGACAGGCGGCCCTGGCTGTTGGCTGACCTGCACTACCTGCACTTTGCTGCGCTGCTGTGTGCCATCGCGGGGGCTGTCGTGGTGGGGGGCAGCCTGATGACTCCCCCACCACCCTCGGACAGGGTGAGCAGAACATGTGGGCACCCTGGACCCTGCGCCCCATAGCTGCTTGTTTGGAGACATCGCTGTCACTTGAGGTGCACCCTGAGCTCAGCCAAAGGGGGGTCCCTGTGGAGGGGGGTCAGCTTGGGGGTGTTTTCCTACTGAATCTCATCCCATTTCCAGCTGCGGAATCACACCTGGTGGAGCCTTTCTCAGGAGCCTCCCCAGCACTTCATGGATGGCACATCACAGAGATGCCCGGATGGTGAGTGGTACCCAGCACAGGGGTATCCCTGGCTCTTTGCCTAAACGTATCATCCCTGCAACATGGATGCCCAGTGCCTCAGTTTCCCCATGGTCTTCTGTCCCCACAATCACTGTTTGTCTCTGCCAGGCTCCTGCTCAGCTGCCCCGGGTAGCCGGCAGGCAACTGAAGGACTCCCAGCCCTGCGAGACACCACTGAGTCCCCTTTCTGGACCTGGGTCTGCAGCATCAACGCCATTGTCCTGCTGTGTATCAATATTTTCTGCTATGCTTACTTTGCCTAGCCGCTAGGAAGGGGAATAGGTGGAGAAATGGGGATTTAGGTGATTATTTTTGGTCAAGTTAGGGATAGCGGAAGCTTAAAGCCATTGGTGCAATGAGCTGTGTGTTCTTGGGGCTGCAGATGGGACTGTGAGAGAGGGGGACAATGGTGGGGACAGTGAACTTTTGGGATGGGCACAGGGGAGGCTGAATGGGGCAGAGCAGGTGAGGCAAACCCATGAAGGCTATGGCATGGGTGGAAATGCTGCCGCCACGCAGGAAAGTTTAATCCCAACACACTTTACTAACTCTAGATAAAAATAAAAAACAAAAAAGCCACAATTTGCAGCTACAAATGGCACCAGCAGGACTGAATTCCTCCGAAGCAGCCCTTCCAGCATCCTGTGCCCCAGCACTGCTCCACAGCATCCCTGAGCCCAGCCATGTCCCAGCTGACCGCAGCCTTCCTGGAGCTGGGGCTGGAAGAGTCCTGGCCAGGAGCTGCCACCCATCATGACTCCAGAAAAGTTTGGATACCCTTCAATGTCACGCAGCCCTCTGCTTCTTCACATATGGGTATTTGTTGGTGCTGGGAGTGGGGCACCCTCTGCCTCCAGCACAGCATCCAAGATGGCATCGCTGGGATCTGCAGCCCATGGGAACAGCGTGGGGATGGGGGATGTGTGAAGCGGGGCGGCAGGGGTGGCTCACTTGCGGATGGGGTGGACATAATTGCGGGGGAAGAAGCCAATGCGTCCATAGATCTTTCCCTGCCACCAGTTGGGGTCGGGGCAGTCCAGCACCTCAATGATGTCCCCGCGGTAGAAGGGCAGCTGGGAGCTGTCATGGGCAGAGAAGTCGAATTGGGCTTGCACGAATTTGGGTCTTTTCACCTGCAGGGAAACCCAAAGTAGAGGCATCAGGAGTGGGGAGAGGATCCTGCATTCACCAGCAGCTCTGCAGTGCACGGTGGGGACACTGCAAAGACCCATGCAGTGGGGCTGGGAACAAAGGAAATCCTGTCTGGGGAGATCTGGAGGGCCCCAGGGGCAAGGAAGAGCCTGGAATGCAGGAGAGAGCCCTTCTTGATGCCATCCCCTGGTCCCATGGTTACCTCTGGGCTCTGCTCGTCATCCCGAAGGAAGATCTGCTGCTTCTTGGCAATGGTGGTGGTCCTGTAGAAGTCCACCAGCTCATTGAGGGAGTTGAACTTCTCCTCCCAGAGGAAATATTTGCCATTGCGCTCACGGAGCACCTTGAAGTGTTGGACGTGCTGCCCGTAGCTGCGGACAGAGCAAGGATGGATGTTACGGATGGATCTCAAATTCTTTCCAGCACTGTGTGTGAAGCTAGGATCCTACTCTAGCCAGCCAGAAGTGATGGTGGCACTGGGATCTATGCACCCACAAAGGGCAGGTAGGAGAACTATGGGCTGTAGGTTTGGGTGCCAGTAAGCCACAGGATCCTCCCAGACCCAGGAGAGAGGAGCAGGCTGGGTTCCTACCTTGGTGCATTCCTGGTGGTGGCACAGTGGGTCCATGGGGCTGCTGCATGTCCCCACTGCCTTCAGGGCCCCGGGCAGGGGCAGGGATGTGGCCCTGCTGGTGACGCAGGGCAAAGTGTCGCTCCCTTTCATTATGGGCAAGAACCTCCTTAAATGCTTAATTAGAGATTAGCAATGTGAGAAAGTGCCTGGCTGGCCTGGGGCTGGCTCCTGCATGCTGGCTCTGGGCGGAGAGGGGGCAGCAATGGGGTGAGAGCCCTGGGGGAGGCTCTGCCTATTGGCACACCTTCACACAGCCCTGGCTCTGATGCTGAAACCATCGGCCCTGGGGCACCAGGATGCTGTAGTGCTTGTCTCCAGGAATGCTCATGGAAATGTATCCCTTGGGCTGCACTCACTTGACAGAGATGGAGAACTCCCCCGGCGCGCTCTCGCTCTCACGGATCAGGAAGGCTCCCACATATCTGCGCTTGAGGAGCAGCTCCTCCGCCACGTGCCGGGAGATCCTCCCTGCGTACCACCTGCCAGGGGCACTGCTCAGCTGCACGCACCCCACCACCACATCCCCCCCCTCCCCATGGGACGGAGACACGGAGAGGAACCCGGTGGGAGTGGGGTCCCCATCGGGCCGGGACCCACCCATAGCATTTTCCCCCTTTGATGTGATTTCAAGGTGAGTGCCTGCTGTGCGCTGTGCTGGCCCTGCAAAGATGTTCATGCAGCATCACCAGCAGCCGTGACTGCATCCTTTTCGCCAGCACGGTGCCTCGTCCCCTGCTTCTCCCCTCCCCTCCCCCATGACTCACAGCCCAATACAGAAACAGCCCATGGGTGCTTGGTGCATAGCAGGAAACCCAATGTGTTGGGATGGAGGCACCAAAATGAGGTCACTGCCAGTGCAAATACCACAAATTTAGGAACACCAGGCATTGGGGAGATCCTCTGCTACGTGCTGAACTTACTGTGGTTATGCCCAACCCCAGCTTTAGCACAAAGCTGAGCACAAAGATGTGGGGTCCGCCCTTGCTCTGGCCCAGCACCCCACAGCCACAGCTCCAAACAGATTTTGCTATGGCATTAAAATGTGATTTACCCAGGGATGATGGTACATAAAACACAAGTTCAAACTGAGGATGGATTATGCCAGGCTTTAATAACACTCTAATGGGATTGTGTCTAATGCAACTGTAATCCCATAATTCTGTGTTGTTCCCTATAAATTATCATTTATATAGTAGGCAACATGATGCAGGGATGGATTTCTGTGTGCCCTGGGTACGTGGGTTCCCTTCTGTCTCCCACTGTCTTCAGTGACAATGGCAGAGGGACCTGGCAGGGCCTGGTATTGTCACCCTGATACTCCGTGCCTCAGTTTCCCCATGTGCAGAGCTTTCAGCAGCTGTTTGGGCACCAGGACACAGGGTTGGGTCACTGCATGGTGCTGGCAGGGGACACCATGGGGCAGGGCTGGTACTTACGGGTGGGGTTTGACTTTGATGTAGTTTTTGGGGACAAAGCCCTCGCAGCCATACAGCTCAGCCTTGTACCAGTTCTGGTCATCTTCCATGTTGAGGATCTGGGGCGGGAGAGGAGCAGGGAAGCATCAGCCTGGCTGCCATCCCCACGGCCCTCCACTGCCCCAGTGTAGCTGTCCCACCTCACCCCCAAAATCTGGGAAAATGGGGTTCTGGTGAAGGCAACACATTTCACTGCTCACCCCAGGTTGAGGATTGGCTCACCATGGAGGTTCCCAGCATCCCCCCAAACCCCCAGCCAAGGAAAGTGGTAAAACCCATACCCACAGGGCCCTGGCTGCAGCCAGCAGCAGCATCCCCTGGGGCAGTGGCAGCGTAGGAGGACAGTCCCGCTGTGAGCAGGAGGGCTGTGACACCCATTTCCGCATAACACCAGTTTCCAGCCTCCCACGCAAGGGCCCTGGGGCTGCTACACAGCTGTGCAAACAGGATCTGAAACCCCGGGGCTGCGGGGAAAACACACTGGGGAGACAGAGCTGGGGTTGTGCATGGCTCCTGGTGCCCTCGGTCCCCCCAGTTGCTGGTGGGGTGCCACAGAGTGTATCAGCCCCACGGAGAGGAGCAAGAAGTGGGGCAGGGTGCCCGTCACCCCAGTGCTGTGGGTTCTGGGGGTGTTTTGAGGCTCCCTGAGGCTTTGGGGGTGCCAAGGAGGCAGCTGAACCCTTTCTGAATGTTGTGCCCAGATGGGGGGTTGGGCTCATGGTCCTGCCGATGGGTTCCTGTAGCTGTGGAGCAGGGGAAAAACAGGTTTCAGCCCCAAAGAAAAGCATGGTGCCACTGATGCCCCAATGGCCAGGGAGGCCTCGTGCCATGCCCCAGCCAGGACCTCACTGGGGATGTGTCCTGTGGCACGGACAGCTGGTACCTTCTACTGTTGTGATGCTGCTCTGCACCCCAAACTCATCAAAAACAACAACTTCTCCTCCACAGAAAGCCCCAAACAGGTGACAAACAACTGCAACAAAAGCACCCCGTGTATCAACACCCCCCACCCACCCCCCCAGCCTCTGTCCCCCTGTACCTTCAGGGTGTCCCCTTTCTGGAAGGGCAGCTCATCCTTCTCCGTCGTCTGGAAGTTGTACAGAGCCACCGACTCCATGCTGCAGGGCACGAGCGGGGCCCTGGGGCTCGCTGCCCCACGGCACGGGGCTGTGGGGCCTGGGGCGGGTGCTGCCGGCAGGCAGGAAGCCGCACTGATGTCACCGTGCTACCGGAGCAAAGCTGCGATGTGGTGGGTGGGATGCTGCCAGGGGGCACAGCCACACAGATGTGAGGGATCCAGATGTATGGCGTCCCTGCGGGCTGTCGTGTCGAGTGGCTGTGAGATTATGGAAGGAAATTGGTTGGTGATGGGATGAGGATGCGGGTGAGGTGTGCTGCAAGCTGATAGATAGGGGAGTCTCTGATGTCTTGTAAGGGCTGAGCTGCTGGCACTCAGTGGAAGGATTCTCAGTGGGAATGGCTCTGTAAACGTGGGGATGAAATCACAGAGGGTGGGATGGGCAAAGGGAGAGGTGAGTGGGGTGATGCATGCACCTGGCTTATTTGGAAATCAGACTAAAATCAACGTGCTGTATCTGCAGTGCTCCCGGGGAGGGGAGGGGGGGCATGGCTCTGTCAGTCCCAGCATTGCGCAGCCTTCCTGGTGCATGTGTGTGCTTTGGCATGACGTGTACAGAAAATGCACTGCATGTTGGTTTTGCTTTGCAGTGAGGAATTAAAGAGGGGACAGCTGTGGTTCAGTCCCTCCATGAGCTCAGCTTGGGGAACTGCTGCCATCTGATCGAGGAGGGATGAGCTGTGATGTTCAGCACTCATGGGGCTGGGTGCCCTGCACCCAGTGATGCTCCAGTCCCTGGCTGCTACCCCCAGTATATCCTTGGTGGAAGTAGGGAGGCCACGGGGCCGTGGGAACAGG